CCACCCAGGGAATTAAGTGATCCAGCAGGGAATTAAATGATCCAGCAGGGAATTAAGTGATACAGCAGGGAATTAAGTGACCCACCCAGGGAATTAAGTGATCCAGCAGGGAATTAAATGATCCACCCAGGGAATTAAATGATCCAGAAGGGAATTAAATGATCTACCAGGGAATTAAGTGATCTAGCAGGGAATAAAATGATCCAGCAGGGAATGAAGTGACCCAGCAGGGACTGAATGAAATGTCCCAGTGGGGAATGAAGTGACCCAGCAGGGAATGAAGTGACGCACCAGGGAATTAAATGATCCACCCAGGGAATTAAATGATCCACCCAGGGAATTAAATGATCCAGCAGGGAATGAAGTGACCCAGCAGGGAATTAATTAAATTAAATGTCCCAGCGGGGAATGAATGAAATGCCCAGCAGGGACTGAACGAAATGCCCAGCAGGGAGTGAATGAAATGCCCAGCAGGGACTGAATGAAGTGTCCCAGCAGGGACTGAATGAAATGCCCAGCAGGGACTGCAGCCCCAGGTGAGGAGCAGCCACCAGCTCCGTTTGTGTGAGGTTTGATCGCCCCCTGAGCCCCTGCACACCCACCATCCTCCTGTTGTCCTGCTTGTAGATGCTGACGGTGGCGTCCCTGATGACGATGTGNACCTATATTTAACACCAATCACCTGTATTTTTATCTATATTTTCACCTATATTTAACACCAATCACCTATATTTTTAGCTATATTTTCACCTATATTTAACACCAATCACTTGTATTTTTACCTACATTTCACACCAATCACCTATATTTTACCTATATTTTTACCTATATTTAATACCAATGACCTATATTTTTCCTCTTGCTACAATGCATTTTTCACAGCTCTAATTCTCTAAAATATCTGGTGTTTTTGCCAGGCCATCTTTTGAAACTTGCTGAAACTTGTTTCCAGTCCAATCTCTCTCAACAATGTCATTTTTTATTCTATGGCATTCTTAATCCTTCAATTGTCACCTTGTGCCCAACCCCAGCCTGGCTCCCCATGGAAGGGAAATGATCCAGCAGGGAATTAAATGATCCAGAAGGGAATTAAATGATCCCAAAGGGAATTAAATGATCCAGAAGGGAATTAAATTATCCACCCAGGGAATTAAATGATCCAGGAGGGAATTAAATGATCCAGCAGGGAAATGAATGATCCAGCAGGGAATTAAATTATCCCAAAGGGAATTAAATTATCTATCCAGGGAATTAAATGATCCAGCATGGAATTAATTAAATGATCCAGAAGGGAATTAAATTATCTACCCAGGGAATTAAATGATCCAGCAGGGAATTAATTAAATTATCCAGAAGGGAATTAAATGATCTACCAGGGAATTAAGTGATCCAGCAGGGAATTAAATGATCCAGCAGGGAATTAAGTGATCCACCAGGGAATTAAATTATCTACCAGGGAATTAAATGATCCAGCAGGGAATTAACTGATCCACTAGGGAATTAAATGATCCAGAAGGGAATCAAATTATCCAAAAGGGAATTAAGTGATCCACCAGGGAATTAAATGATCCACCTGGGAATTAAAGTGATCTAGTAGGGAATTAAATAATCCAGCAGGGAATTAAATGATCCTCCAGGGAATTAAATGATCCAGCAGGGAATTAAATGATCCAGCAGGGAATTAAATTATCCACCCAGGGAATTAAATGATCCACCTGGGAATTAAAGTGATCTAGTAGGGAATTAAGTGACCCACCCAGGGAATTAAGTGATCCAGCAGGGAATTAAGTGATCCAGCAGGGAATTAATTAAATGATCCACCCAGGGAATTAAATGATCCAGCAGGGAATTAAATTATTCACCCAGGGAATTAAATGATCCAGAAGGGAATTAAATTATCCAAAAGGGAATTAAGTGACCCACCTGGGAATTAAGTGACCCACCTGGGAATTAAAGTGATCTAGTAGGGAATTAAATGATTCACCAGGGAATTAAAGTGATCTAGTAGTGAATTAAGTGATCCAGCAGGGAATTAATTAAATGATCCAGCAGGGAATTAAATGATCCACCCAGGGAATTAAATGATCCAGAAGGGAATTAAATTATCCAAAAGGGAATTAAGTGATCCACCTGGGAATTAAAGTGATCTAGTAGGGAATTAAGTGATCCAGCAGGGAATTAAGTGACTCACCAGGGAATTAAATTATCCACCCAGGGAATTAATTAAATGATCCAGCAGGGAATTAATTAAATGATCCACCCAGGGAATTAAGTGATCCAGCAGGGAATTAAAGTGATCTAGTAGGGAATGAAGTGACCCAGCAGAGAATTAATTAAATGATCCAGCAGGGAATGAAGTGACCCAGCAGGGACTGAATGAAATGTCCCAGTGGGGAACGAAGTGACCCAGCAGGGAATTAAATGATCCACCCAGGGAATTAAGTGATCTACCAGGGAATTAAATCATCCAGCAGGGAATTAAGTGACCCACCAGGGAATTAAATTATCCACCCTGGGAATTAAATGATCCAGGAGGGAATTAAGTGATCCAGCAGGGAATTAATTAAATGATCCACCAGGGAATTAAATGATCCACCAGGGAATTAATTAAATGATCCAGAAGGGAATTAAATTATCTACCCAGGGAATTAAATTATTCACCCAGGGAATTAAGTGATCCAGCAGGGAATAAAATTATCCAGCAGGGAATTAAATGATCCACCTGGGAATTAAAGTGATCTAGTAGGGAATTAAGTGATCCACCATGGAATTAATTAAATTCCATGGAATTAAGTGATCCACCTGGGAATTAAAGTGATCTAGCAGGGAATTAAGTGATCCACCAGGGAATTAAATGATCCACCAGGGAATTAAATTATCCACCTGGGAATTAAAGTGATCTAGTAGGGAATTAAGTGATCCAGCAGGGAATTAATTAAATTATCCACCAGGGAATTAAGTGATCCAGCAGGGAATTAAATGATCCACCAAGGAATTAAATGATCCAGAAGGGAATTAAATGATCCACCAGGGAATTAAATTATTCACCCAGGGAATTAAGTGATCCACCAGGGAACTAAGTGATCCAGCAGGGAATTAAGTGATCCAGCAGGGAATTAAATTATCCACCTGGGAATTAAAGTGATCTAGTAGGGAATTAAGTGATCCACCAGGGAATTAATTAAATGATCCAGCAGGGAATTAAATGATCCAGCAGGGAATGAAGCGACCCAGCAGGGAATTAATTAAATGATCCACCCAGGGAATTAAGTGATCCAGCAGGGAATTAAATGATCCAGCAGGGAATTAAGTGATACAGCAGGGAATTAAGTGACCCACCCAGGGAATTNATAACAATAATAAATAAATAAACAATAAATAACAATAAATAAATAACAACAGACCAGATGAGCCCAAAATGAAGGAGGAAGGGACCAGATGTGCCCATAACCCCAAAATGCAGAAGGGACTGACCAGATGGGTCCATAACCCCAAAACGCAGGAAGGACTGAGCAGATGAGCCCAAAATGAAGAGGGACTGACCAGATGTGCCCATAACCCCAAAAAGCAGGAGGAACTGACCAGATGAGTCCATGAACCCCAAAATGAATGAGGAACTGACCTGATGTGCCCATAACCCCAAAATGCAGAGGGACTGATCAGATGGGCCCAAAATGAAGAGGGATTGACCAGATGGATCCATAAACCCCAAAATGCACAGGGACTGACCAGATGTGCCCATAACCCCAAAATGCAGGAGGAACTGACCAGATGTGCCCATAACCCCAAAATGAAGGAGGAACTGACCTGATGTGCCCATAACCCCAAAATGCACAAAGGACTGACCAGATGTGCCCATAACCCCAAAATGAAGGAGGAACTGACCAGATGTGCCCATAACCCCAAAATGCACAGGGACTGACCAGATGGGCTCAAAATGCAGAAGGGACTGACCAGATGGATCCATAAACCCCAAAATGCAGGAAGGACTGACCAGATGTGCCCATAACCCCAAAATGCAGGAAGGACTGACCAGATGGGCCCAAAATGCAGAAGGACTGACCAGATGGGCCCATAACCCCAAAAAGCAGGAATGACTGACCAGATGGGGCCGTGGCAGCCGTTCTTGATGTTGTGCTGGATGAGGGGAGGAGCCACGTCGGTGCACAGGTAGTGGTGGGCGTCCGCAGTGAGCCTGAAGTAGCCGTCGACCAGCGAGGTGAAGGACAGCGCCTCGGCGTGCGAGCCCAGCCGCAGCTCCTGCAGCACAGCAACACCAGTCAGCTTCAAAAACACAATCACACAATCACAGAATCACAGAATCACAGAAATTCTAGGCTGGAAGAGACCTGTAAGAT